GACGTTGTTCGTCGTGTACTGAGGTAAGAAACAACAATCGACGGTGGAATAGGTGCTTTAATCAGGAATATCGCGATTGTTCCAACACAGAAGCATGGAGATACAACGGGCGAGAATATAGAATCTGGTTTTCTGTTGCTTGATCATCAGCAAGCACCGCTTTCGAAAACTGGTTTTCCGGCGGTTTCCGAGGCAGAGTTGTGTTGACTGTGAAGCGTGTGCTGCGGAGTATGCAGAGGGCATTAGGGCGGAGACCAGAGGGCGGAGGGAATCAAGGAAAGAGAGAGACAAAAAAAGATTAGCGAAGAAGGACGGAATTTGGGGAATGGCGGTTGCGACAATGGCGTATTTATAGAGAGCATGTGGGCCTGAAGTTTACGCTGTCGCCACTCGTATTCATTTAATGCCTTTTCTTTTTTTACTTAAAATAGTCGTGATGTCAGCTTGTGGATACGAAACTATTCTCTAATTGACATTATTACCCTTCCATTTGAATTTTTTAATAAAATGATTTTATTTTCTTTTCCCTATTTATTAGGCTAAATTACAAATATTAAAAATAATAATCCCTTCAAATACACCTTAAAAAATAATTTTGACTATTTACAAATCCTAAATTTTAATTAAATATTTAAAAATGAATATTTTACTATTAACATTATTTCTATTAAAAATAAAAATTTGAATAGATAACCCAAACAACCTAAGCCAACCAAATCTAAAAAAATTATGATCAAATTGATTTCATTACTTAACAAGAATTATTAGAATTGAAAAAATTTATTACTGAACAATTGGATTAGATCTAAAAAAATATTTCAACTCAATCGACAGACTCTACAACATTTATGTTAGAAGATTATTGGGAATTGAGTCCTACATTGGTTAATTTGGTGGAAGATCATGGTTTATAAGTGAGGAATACTATCTCTATTGTTACGAGGTTTTTTAAGAAGCCCAAAGCAAAGTCACAAGAGCTTGTACCTAGAGTAGATAATATCATGCCATTATAAAGAGTCGTGATTTTTAGAAAGTAAAAAATGTGGGCCATTAAATAGAAGGCAAAGAGGGGTATTTTGGACCAAAAAAGGTAACAAAAAGTGTGGGGAAACAGAGAGGAAGCATGTAGAAAGGAAACATCGAGGAGGGGAGGCCCCATCGCAGAAGGTTTTCGCTGTCATCCAACGTGGCATTTGACCTTATTTATACCACGTGGATTTTCATCCACTGTCGGCTTGCGAGTGCCACCTAGTCTACAAGAGAAAAAAAATTGCTGGCGTGGCTGGTAAACTATAACGCTTATCCCCTCATTATTGGGTCGAATCAGCGTGGGGCCACAGAGCAAGACTCGTCAAAACATTTTCCCCTGACACGTGCGTTCTATTTATTATTATATTACATGTTTTAGTTTTAAAAATATTTTATAAATATCTTATTTAGAAGAAACGTTAATTATTTACTCAAAAAAAAAAATGAAAACTTGTAATTTGTGTGTTATTTACTAAACTATGAAAATTAATTAATTTTTCAAACCACCCAATGAGCTTTCTATTATTATAGCTAATTTAAAAGGAAAAAATAAAACAAAATAAACATATTAAAAACGTGATTTGTAGTGAAAAGAATTTGAAATTTAAAAACAAAGGAATTTACAGAAGGGAATTTACAAGGTTGCCCCCACAAAATTCCAATGGGATGAAGAAAATTGTCTCCCATCTCAAGGCTGCTGGATGATATGAGTGGCTAGTCAAAATTATTCACCTACATTTCTCTAACCACCAACCACCATCAACATCAGCCAACCTTAAACTAGGGGGAAAAAAAAGACAATAATAATTTTAATATTAATAAGACTAAATTAATAAATTTTAAAAAAAAATACTCAAATCTTCATAGTTATTGTAAAAAATATCCTAAACTAAAAATAAAAGTTCAAAATAGAAGCTGTTAATATTTTAGTATAAAAAAAAAATTTTAAAAAAACCTTTAAAATCCAAATTTATCCTTAATTTTTTTTTTTTTTGTAAAAACTTAAATATTTTAAGAGTTAAATAACACTACATTTTAAGAATATTTTTTAACCTTGGTTAAAAAATTTAAAGTCACTTTTTAAAAAATTTACATTTTCCATTTTAAATTATTTTTCAAATATGAATTAAGTTTTGATTGAGCTAAAATTTTGAGTTTCTACCCATGCTTGAAAATTTATACGTATACTATACTATTTTAATGTAAAATTTATGTACACAAAAATTTAAATTTCAAAGATTCCTCTATGTTGAAATTTAAATATAACAAATATAAAACGTTTACAATGTGAAATTGCTTATAAAAATTTGTAGTTCCACGCATAAACTTAAATTGATAAATAAGATATATTTTACGAATAAAATAATCAATAATTAAAATTAAAATTTATTCTTCAAAGAATAATCAAAATATTAATTTAATCCATTCAGAACAAATCGTAAATAAAGTAAGATTATAGCCCTAAAGCAAAAGGAAGACAAAAATAATAAAATAAAATAAGGTGAAATTACTAAAAATACTCTTGAATTTTGTATTTTATCTCAAAAAGTTTAAAGATATATATATATATATATATTTATCTAAATTTATTAAACAAATATAAGATATTTTTATTAAATTAAGCTTAAAAAAAAGTAATAGGGATATGGTCGAGCATTCTAGAAGAAACAGGATTTTGTCCCTTACAAGGATGGCGGCTAACGGATTAGGTTGGAGTATAAAATGATTTGCCTTTTTCTTCTCAATTAAGAGATTTGTCGTCTATTATCAGCCTACAAATCTTGAAATTAAGGGAGTTTCCTTTATTATTTATTTATTTATTAAAATTATTATTAGTACTAAAAAATTTAAATTTTCCACCAAACAATTGAATAATTATGATTTAGTTCCAAATCAATACCTCTTTGTGAATTTGAATTTCTTCCGGAGAATTGAGCTGGAAAACAAGAGAAGATGAGAGTAAATCAATGATATTGATAAATATAGCTCATGAAAATTAATCGTTCTAAATTTTCACGATTATTGGAGCAAATTAGTAACTTCGAAGTTTTTAACATACGGTTAATTTCATATTTGAATCTTAACTAAAAAACATACCAATCCGGTTGCATGAACAATGCAAATGTGGAGCGCTCGAGATTGAAAGCATCCGTCCCTTTAGATGCATAACAAATATCGAACAAATATCAAAACTTGTGATGAAAGAATATATGTCCAGCACATGATCTTTATTTAACAAGAAAAAAGAAATGAAAAAGAACTGTGAGATCTCACGTATGTTGGAGAGGAGAATAACCCATTCTTTATATGGGTGTGTAAATCTCTCCTTAGTAGACACGGTTTAAAAACTTTGAAGGAATCCCGAAAGAGAAAACTTAAAGAAGATAATATTATCTTATACAAGAGCTAGGTAAGCAAGCCAAGAGATGCTAGAAAAGGCGAGGCAAGGAGCTCTTCGTTCTAAGAAGAAGATTGTATCGACTCTATGATTTTACTGCAAATCGAAGATTTCATTTGTGTAATGTATAACGTACCATACACAAAAAGTAAAACCTGAAAAAGCTTTTTAAAAGGTAGGGTGGGAGAAGAATGATGCAAATAACTCAATAAGATAAGCAACCAAACCCAGTTTTACTTGTAGTTTGATCTCAAAATTTATTCGAAGTTAAGGGTTCAATACGTGTCTAACCGTGGTATCTCACAATCCACCTTAGCACACGGCAAGGTGTTTGGATTTGTTTGGATTTGATACCATTTCTAATATCTCAAGTTCACAGCTAACCATCCCTTCCCACTTTCTACTTCCTCTCAAAGTTTTAAAACATGTCTACTAGAGAGAGGCTTCCACACCCTTATAAAAAATGTTTCGTTCATTTCTCTAACCAATATGACATGTCGGCATAGACACACAAGCCAAACTACAGTATCGATGCTTGTTAGCTCATATTAAAAGCTTTCCAGAACCATAATTATTGTTTATTGCTTATTTAAACAGTGTACAGAGTCAGAGGCAGATAAAAATGGCATACCAGGCTTCCCAGATTCAAGTTTCTCTTTGCCATGACTCCATCCAAAGTTATACCTAAACAAACATGAAGAGAAACAGAAAGTCATTCACCAGATCTCTTACATATCAATGTTCATCAGGTTAAAAGTTATGAACTACCAAGAAATTCGTGGAGCCTTAATCTTATCAGTATAATGACTCGCGGAGTTTGAGAAAGCCACTATTACCCAACCTAGGGTTTATATCTCAACATTTGAAAATTTCTCGTCAAATAGCAAACCCTAACTCCGTTATGCCAACAAAAGACCGAGAAGAAATCGAAATGATTCGAGAAAATAGATTTTAGTGACTCAGTCTAATTTTCTCGGAGATTGACTTACTTGGAGCTCTGAGTACGATATGGCGACGGTTCCGGTGGCCGGAGAAGGGAACTGAAACGAGGAAGCCATTTTCGTAGAGAGAATCCGGCGGCGGGAAGATTGGCAAATTGAAGAACGATGAAGAAGAAAGAGGCGGGACGTTACGAAATTTGGCAGGAGGTCGCCTTTTATAAGGAAATGGAGCCGCCGAAGAGCGGGAACTTTGCTCGTTCGTTCGTGGGATCACCCAATTTTAAATTTTAAAATAATAATTTTCGAATTATTAAAATAAATTATCCATTTTATATTTTTTTTACGTTTAATAATTAATATTTTATTCATTTCATTATATTTCAATTCTCTTTAGGGAACTCAAATCATGTTTATTAAAAAATTATAAATATTTTTCATATTTAACTATAAATTTAATTCTAGAATATTTTTTAATCTTTGAAAAATATTTTTTCTAAATATTTTATATTAATGATTAAATTGATTATTAAATTTTATTTAATAGATTAAATGGAAAAAAAGTTACCCCTAAATTGTAAATCTACCCAAAATAATAATAAGAATAATAATCTCAAGGTGTATATATATATATATAATCTCGAGCCATATTTTGAGGCTCTTGGACATAAAACTACGTATTTCATTATATGACTTGAAAATTTTCCCGATAGCTATGGATAATAACGATACTCAATCTAAGCATAGCACAATACTACCTTAGCATCGCCGGTTTTTCTCCCCGAGCTATGCGATTATCAGTTCTTCCCGACCATAGTTCAAATATTTATTAAATTTTACAAATTTTCTTGGCAATAATAAAATAAGCACATATGTTCTCCTTTTTGTAATTTATACTTCCAATTCAGCCACTCGACTTACAGGTTCGAAGAGGGAATCGATTTCTTTGTTGTCGACATCGTCCAAGGCTGACGGGTTCCATTTCGGATTCTGCCAGTTCATAAGATCAAACACATTGTGATTATAAATTTTAAGCTCGAAAAACCCGAAATTATTCGCGAAAATGGTTTGTTTGTTTTCTTACAACTTTTCGTCGTTTTAAGCTAAACATTAGCATAAAATCTAACCTGATCTTTGTCCACCAAAACAGCTCGAACTCCTTCAGCAAAATCATTGCGCAGGGATGATCTTAAGGCAATACGATACTCCGTTCTCATAATGCCGTTCAGCTGCACACCCACCCATACAAAGAGGAAGCACGTTACTACGTAAACTATGTTGAGTTTCGAGCAATTAAAAGCACGAACGAAAAAATCTCGAACTCACAGTCGATAATTCGTTGTTACGCTTTCCGTGTGCAGCTGCAACTTTGGAGAAATACTTTTGTGTCAATGCAAGTGAAAAGGGAGCGCCTTTTCCAATTCCTTGAAGAGATTCTTTAGCCCATTCCGCCACTGCATATACAAAAACATGACCCATCAGTGACCGAGCAAGGCCAGCTCGTGTCTTTAGGGTCAGCAGGTCGAGCCTGCGGTTCTAACGATTCCGTAGATACAAAAGGAGCTACTCCCCTATCATCCGCTGTCCCCACATTTCCAGTTTCCCGAAGAATTCGAAGATTTCGGTGAAGTTCTTTAAGACATCATATAATCAATCAAACATACCTGAAGAATTTGAATCCTGTTGGTGTTTCTTTAGTTCTTCAACCGTCTCCTTAACCGACTTTTCGGCACCAAAGCACGAAACTATCTGAGGTAAGTGTAACTTCAACGAGGATGGAGACTCGGGGTCGCTACTGTATTTTGTCAGGAGCGTTTTTATATCCTCGTGAGGATCCTCAGAACTGTAAAAGAATTAAACAATCGACCATCACAGACCATCCAACTTCGAAAATAACGATTAACAGAATGAAAAAACATCGATAGAAGATGTTCGGAAATTTACAAGTTAGCAGTCAAGAGTCGTTCTTTCAGTGAACTCAAATTCGCAGACGGAACGTAATGCGTTCCGAGACCAACGTAGAGTGCATCAGATGGCGATGAAATTTTTTTACCAGTCAGTCCAAGGTATGCCCCTACAGAGTGATGAATGATTACAAAACATTTACTAAAACAAAACGTTTAAACGTTCGGGGAAAATAAGGATTCGAACAAAAACAGCTCGAGATAACGATGACGTACCAACTGATCCTTCTCCTGGACCTTGAGCTGCTATGTATGAAAACCCAACATCTGGGAACAAACCAATTCCATTTTCAGGCATGGCTAGAAGGGTCCTCTGAGTTAAAACCAATATAGACGAACGTGTACAGTTAGGGGCAAAAACGACATTCTTGGACCGATATAATAACGAAAGGTACGTGTCAGCAGAACGGGGAAGATTTACGTACCTCTGTGATGATCCTGTAACGGCCGTGAGCTGATAAGCCAATCCCGAACCCCATTGTTATGCCATCCATGAAGGCTAAGTAAGGCTTCTTGTAATCAGAAATTTTGCAAATTAAAGAATACTCAGCTGTAAATACCTGCAGAGAAACGTCATAAGAATTTCAAATGCAATATAGTTTGCGAAGAAATCACATTTGATTCAAATGGAAAATATCTACTCGTCGCTTTCGTTCAAATCAAATGATGAACTGAAGAGATCGTTTGCATTCGAAGGAACTTTCTAGCTTGAAAAAGTATCTGTAACAGCTCAAGCCCACTGCTAACAAATATTGTCCGTTTTGGCCCATTACGTATCGCTATCAGCTTCATGGTTTTAAAGCGTACGAGGGAGAGGTTTCCACACCCTCATAAGAAATGCTTTGTTTCCCTCTCCAACCGATGTGGGATCTCACAATTCACTCCCCTTGGGGGTCAGCGTCCTCGCTGGCACACCACCCGGTGTCTGGCTCTGATAGTATTTGTAACAGCCCAAGCCCACCGCTAACAAACATTGTCTGCTTTGGCCCGTTACGTATCACTATCGGCCTCATGGTTTTAAAACGCGTCTACTAGAGAGAGGTTTCCACGCCCTTATAAGAAATGCTTTGTTTCCCTCTCCAACCAATGTGGGATCTCACAATTCACTCCCCTTGGGGGGTCAGCGTCCTCGCTGACACACCGCCCAGTGTCTGGCTCTGATACCATTTGTAACAGCCCAAGCCCACCGCTAACAAACATTATCCACTTTGGTCCATTACGTATCACCGTCAGCCTCACGGTTTTAAAACGCGTCTACTAGGGAGAGGTTTCCATACCCTTATAAGGAATGTTTCGTTTCCCTCTCCAACCGACGTGGGATCTCACAGTATCAAACTACTCAGAAGAAACAATAATGCAATAATAAGAATCATATGGTCGGGCTTATTTTTAAGAAAGTGTTACGACATGTTCTTAAAACGTTTCCCCCTCTTTGCGGTTCGTGGAAGAGCAAAGAGATGAAGCAAAAAGAAGACCTCAATCATATCTGGTAATTGGTTTTTGTTCGTTATCTGCTTCACATCACCACCTGTGAATAGACTAATACTTAAGTTATTAAGAACCAATATTTCAACTAAGAACTCGGTTAAAATACTATTCGGTTCGTGTACTTCGGGTTCCATTTCATTTTAGTCCCGGTACTATAAATGGTTCGAATTTAATCGTTATACTTTCAATAAATCTTAAAAATAGGACTGAAATTGGAAAAGATACCTCGTGAATTTAGATGGTCTTTTTATACCGTCTTACCTGCACAAAAGGCACGAGACGAGCTTCCCTCGACGAGGACACATTTGACCGTTGGATCTTCCTCCCATTCGTCGAGATACTTTTTGTATTCTATATCCATATCTGCTTAGTCAATAAAGTTTAATACAGAAAGTAAATCATCATCAAACCAAACCAACATAGAGACATCCGAAAAACACCTTTATTTTTGCTCATAAAGTTAAGACACTATCATTGCTCTTAACGTTTTAAGCACAATGATAGTGTTTTTGAACCATGTCTTTGCAACAAGCTGTCCAAATGTGTGTGTGTGTGTTTTTTTTACAAAATTTCAATAATTTTTGCTTAGCTGTGACCGCTCAACCATGAAAACTCATCGTATAGTGTAGAGTTTTTGTAACAGCTCAAGCCCACCACTAATAGATATTGTCTTATTTGAGCTTTTCTTTTCGGGTTTCTCCTCAAGGTTTTTAAAACGCGTCGACTAAGGAGAAGTTTCCACACCCTTACAAGAATGTTTCGTTTCCCTCTCCAACCGATGTGGGATCTCACAATCAACCCCCCTTCGGGGCCCAGCGCCCTAGCTAGCACACCGCCTCGTGTCCACTCCTCTTCAGGGCTCAGCCTCCTCGCTGGCACATCACTCAGTGTCTGGATCTGATACCATTTGTAACAGCTCAAGCCCACCGCTACCCGATATTGTCCTCTTTGGGTTTTCCATTCCGGGCTTCCTCTCAAAGTTTTTAAAATGCGTCTGCAAGGGAGAGGTTTCCACTCTCCAACTAATGTAAGATCTCACAATCTACCCCCTTCGAGGCCAGCGTTCTTGCTGGCACATCGCTCAGTGTCTCGCTCTAATACCATTTGTAATAGCACAAGCCTACTGCAAGCAGATATTGTCCTCTTCGAATTTTCCCTTCCAGGCTTTCCCTCAAGATTTTTAAAACAAGTCTGCTAGGGAGAGGTTTCCACTCTCCAACCAATGTGGGATCTCACAATCCACCCCTTCGGGGTCCAGTGTTCTTGCTGGCACATCGCTCGGTGTCTAGCTTTAATACCATTTGTAATAGCACAAGCCTACTGCAAGCAAATATTGTCCTCTTTGAATTTTCCCTTCCAGGCATTCTCTCAAGGTTAAAAGTGTCTGCTGGGGAGGTTTTCACGCCCTTATAAGAATGTTTCGTTCCCCTTTTCAACCGACATGGGATCTCACAATTTTTCTCTTCTCTACAGAAAAACCGGAGATGAATATCAAAGAATTGGATCCTCTGGACCTCTAGGCTCACAAAACACAGCAAATGGCGGCACAGACTCGTCATGGACGAGGGCCATAAGCTAAAAGCTATGAATCAACTATTTGCTATGGAAAAATCTGGCGTTACCAAACTTAAGAAGCTACAGGATTTTCTCACCAGACACAATAACGGTTCGGAACCACGGATCTCCACGATGGTATGATATTGTCCACTTTGAGCATAAGCTCTCGTGGCTTTGCTTTGGGCTTCCCCAAAAGGCCTCATACGAATGGAAATAGTATTCCTCACTTATAAACCATGATTTTCAACGTGTAATTCGCTCCCAATAATCCTCAACAATAACCGTCTCAATTTGCTATGGTAACTCAGAATCTATTGGGAGCTTCGCCTATTTCCACAATTTAAGAAATGCTGTTTTCCACTTGAATCGGCATAAAATTATCAGAACAATCGATATTATGAAGTTCAACTCCCAAATTTCAGACGAAAGTAAACTAAAGCCACATTCATACATTCCTCAATTTATAAACTAAATTCAGAAGCGATCAGATGCAATAGAAGAAAATAATGAAGGAAATGAACCTAAGTTCATGGCATTGAGAGCTTTGGGGCGATCGAGAGTTATAACCGCGACGCCATTCGGATGAACGTTTCCCTTGACAAACTCGTCCGCGCCGGCCATGGCCGCCAAGGTTCGCCGGTCGGAACTGGAATTGATGTGGAAGAGATTGGGTGAGGGAAAGCTCCGAGAGAAAGAAACCGTAGAGGATTTGAATAAGAACTGTGAAGCTCTAAATCGGAGCAAACTTCGCATGCTGTGTGTTTGCTCTTTTTTGGTTTTTGTTTCCTTCGACAGGCGAGACCGCTGCAGGAGAGAACGGCAAGGAAAGCAGACCTTCTCGACGACGATAAAAACGTCGACGTTTTGTTGGAAAAGAAAACGGAAGTGAAAAGGGGGTGGAGTGTACAATACGAATAATAATAATGTTGTTTTTTTTTTTTTTTTTTTTTCTAATGGATTAAAAAAATCAATTAAATTAACTTAATTAATATGAGTTAGTTATTACTCATTTGGATTAAATTGAAATAAAATAAATTTTTTTATTGGGATAAAATTAAAATAAAGGAAAATTTTATATGCGGAGATGTCTCATAAATTTTCAAAAATTAATTTAGATGGAATGGAAACGGATTCAAATTTATTGTGAATTTAATGTTTGAAAACAAATAAATGAAAATTTTATAACCAATTGAATCCGATCTAAAAATATCTCAATCTGACCTATGGGATTGCCTTACTTTGGATTAACTAATTTCTTTAATTAATTTATTTCTTTGAATTAATTAATTTCTTTAATTAACCTGTTTAGAAGTTACTTAATATTTATTTAGTTGTTTTTTTAAATAGTTGACTTCAATTGCAAATTTCTTAATAAAATAAACTTTTTATATAGTCCATTTGTATCAAATTTTGATATTTTAGAATTAAAAAATGTAATTTATTTGACCTACAAATTACCAAACTAAAAGAAAATAATAGAAACTAAACAGATTTGTTAGAGAGAGAGGCCGATTGATTTTTATCAAAGCCAATATTTCCAACAAAATAATAATAATAATAATAAAATAACGAAATTCATTTGAAAAAGAGAAATATTTGCCGAATATATCGTTGAATTATAAAGTAATATTTGTACATAATTAATAATTGATGAAAAGAAATAGTAAAAAACATGTTGAAGCTGCAAAAATAAAATAAGTACACATATTTTCAGAATAAAAACATTGCAAATTGTAAACACGACATAAAAAAAAAACAAAGTACAGAAATCCACCGTCCATGTCCATCCCCAGCCTAAGCTAACTCTAAGCAAAGTATTGCTATCTCATTCTACAACACCAATAGAAGTCAAATCCGTCCTACTACACGGGATACAAGAAAGTCAACTTCGACATTGCTCAAACGATATGAAAATACCTTCGAGATCATAAGTTTGAATTCTCCAACATGTTGAACTACAAAAAAAAGTTTCTAGGAAAACCGACATGTTTTATCCACAATTTGATCAACAAAATTCATACGGGGCAGGGTCGAGCGATAAAACAATGCTTGAGAGAGAGATTCTAAATAGAAGCTAAGAGTAGAATCAAGGTCACTATTATGTACTCCCCTAAATTAAAAGCAACGATCAAAGAACTCTAAATAACATATATATCCTCCATGATTAAATTATAATAATGTTATGTTTCAAATGCAGTTGGGAGTCTTTGAGAGATAAACAAATGCCTCCAAGCATTACCTCCAATAGCAAATCACTTCTACAACGGCCGATCCAATTTTAGCATGGCATAAGGCCATCATCATCATTTAGACAGTGACCAGGGATAAAAATACCTGCACAAGAATGGAAAACAATAGGGAGGTCAATGTAAATTGAGAAACTTTTACAATATGGCCAACAGCAATCATCATCTAAGTTAGAAGGCGACGCCCTTATTCCGTCTCGTCTCGTCCCGTCCCGCCCGTCCCTAGAACTTCTGGCTTAATTAGCTTCGCAGCCTCTTGCAGGAAATGATATCAGAAAATGAATCAACCAACTGCCCTGCTAAGCTGCAAGGATCGTCAATGAGGGTTTGAATAAAGGAGTTAACGACTCGTCGTTCGCGCTCGGTTGATCTCAAGCTATACCATGTTAGCAGTTTCAATCTGAATTCCTGCTTTATATATCCTTCACATTCTAGCCATCTGATTATCTTTACACAATATTCAAAATTCTCATCCAAACAACAAGAACCAATGGAATTCCGGAATGGAGATCCATTTATCAGAGTGCTGTCACAATCATGAATCTCTTCATTCGAGCTGCTACCCCTTTTCCTGCACAATGCCACCCCGGAATCAACAGCAGATGCATCGCCTCTCCTACCGCCCGTCCATGTTTGAGAGTCGCCGCTACCGTGCGATCTCACCAGACCATTCTTTTCCTTGTCATGAGATGCAGCATCGTCATCTGCCTCAACAACCTGCTGCAATGTGCATTCATCATCCTCGTCTCTTGAGGACTCAAACGGAGGAGTTACCTCTTCATTCAAGTCGGGAACTGAGACCACATTCAAGTCGAGATCACGGGAAACAGGTGGCAGCTGTTCTTCTGGGGTTTCAGGTTTGACCACCTTGCCTACTCCTCCACAGCATTTTTCAGCATCAGCACAGCAAAACCCTTCATTGTAGCCCTGATCTTGATCACAAGGAAGATGCAGAATCTTTTCAAGATCTCGAACCTTGAACTGAGATGGCGACCCAAAAACTTTGGTGTTGTCAGGCCCCATCTTGCTACAAGAACTTCCTTCAATATGAGCATGCTCTCTTTTACAATTTGAACTGGCTGCCAGTTTTGAATTTTTGGAAATTATCTCCACACTCTTAGTAAAGCACCTTGCTTCGGAGTGACCCAAGTCGCCATTATCAGTATATGAAATGATTCTAAAGGTGTATTCCGTGCATGGCTTCAGGTTGGAAATCATAATTCGCCTTTGAGATCTTGGAAATACACAAATGGGATCTTTCATGTGCAATTCTTCTCTATTTTTTCCATACCAGAGTTTGTATCCTTTGACACTGTTTGATGATGCATTAGACAGCTCAACAAGAATCATTACAACAGATGAAGATGCTATCTCTTCAAACAAGAACTTACAAGCAGCTGGAAGAGAATCCTCTGCCAAAACAAACCAAAAAGAAACGATAAGTAGATACCCAAAACAAATTAGAAGAGAATAAGTAGTATACGACTTAGAACCTCTGTAATTAGGATTCACATGAGGAGCAGTGGCCAGCCATTTATCTGCATTTTCAATTGCCAAAGAGCAGAGTGTCTGCACATCACCTGCCACCGAGAGTCTACTGACTATACCACGAGCCATCTTGGCTGAAATTCCATTCAATGGACCAACTTCAGCTTCTAATTTGACCTTCGCATCCTTTACAATTTCATGCATTTCTTTGAACCTCGAAGTCCCATCTAGGAGCCTGTAACTCATGTAGATCCTATAGCAAAGTACATCAACTCGACGAGCATCCCGTGCTATAATCAGCTGTTTCTTCCAACTTCTGTTGGCATTCATATATTTGCACAAAAATCCAATGAGTTCAAGGGAAAAATGTAAAACTCACTACATGTCATATAACTTGAATATCTTATTAACCAACAACCTATAGGTTTTATCACTACATGTAAGCACAAACCACAGAGCAGTTGTTATATAAAACTACAAACTGGAAACCTTAATTGGTTCCCTGTCATGTCAACTGGCATCCAGTTCATCTAAAGAGCTTTCTGAGGCAATATCTGATGTGAGAAAATAATTTCTGAAGTAACAAAAAGGATAAATGTGGATTGAAAGGCAAAATATTGGAAAATTACATACCCAAGTATCCCGGTGACTTTACCGCAAGAAGCACAACAGTAGCTGCCATCAAGTTGCATCAATTGTCCAAGATCAACAACCCCAACCTTTTCACGTTGAATAGCACACTCAATGTGACAAGATAACCCACAAGAATCTCCTTCACCCGATTCGGTAGTGCATACCAGCCAAAGACTAGGGTCCTTATTGTCATCGTACAGATGACAAATACAGCAAGAGCATCTCTTGCAAAAAGTGTCATCAATTGAAAGAACAGCTTTACAAGCCGAGTTTTTACAAATCCAGGAATTAGAATGCCCAAAATCCGTAGACTGGTCGGTAACTATGGGTAGACGAGAAGGATTTTCCGCCTTTCTGAGTTGCTTTCTAGATGAAGACTGATTGTTGAGGCTAGATGCAACCTTTTTGGTGTCTTGCTTCTTAACTGCCTTGTTGTTTATTCTTCGAAGTTCTGTCATTTTGCTTTTTGCCGCTACCAAAATCTTCTGCTCCTTTTTAACAAGGGTTCGTAGAAGCTCCTTTTTTGGACCCGATTTCAGGAATTCTTGGAGAAGCTCTGGACTTTTAGAAACATCATCAGAATGCCCATATTTCTCCGGAGTGCTTTGCACACTTGAAGAAAGGCTTTGAACACCAGAAACTGAACAGAAAAAGACATTAGAACCATAAATGTTTTAGGAGCAAATCGAAGTTACATTTGATGGAAGGTGGGTGGGAGATCAGAAACAGACCGAAAAGCATCAATACCCAGCATGCATGCATAACACATTATAAATATGCATGTTTTGATGATTTTTCTCACCAAGAATATCCAAGTATTTAAAGGGAAAGAAGATTATTCTATTTGGAGTTCTTGAACAAGCATGATAATCAGAGCAAGCTATAGGGTATTCACAGAGATCAAGTTCCCTTTTTCTGCTCACTCTCAAACTTTTTACCCTTTACACGCTGAAGATAAATTTTCAGTAGTCCAAGAAGAACGTGATTCACATCAGTTCCAGCTACCCTTCAACTCTTCCATCTTTCAAGCTCGATTGGGATTTTTTGTTCCATCCAAAATTAGTCACTTCTTCCACAGAAATATGCTTCACTTCCCTAAAATTTAATTAGAAATAGGATATTAGGTTACCTTTCTAACTTGTTGGATAAGGATATAGAATTCACCCCCAAATAATTTATTGCATTGCTAGAATCCTATCTGTTCGTAGGAGAAAAGGTGGAGATTTCGTGCCTATAGTTGAGCTACAGTTGAAGTTCATCCAAGAAGTATCTTCTAAAAGAAAATCCCTGCGGTTCAAGTCATCGATAAAAATGCAGAAAACAAAATGAGAGAAGTAACAACGTGCATAACCTTATACGTCAGGATATTTTTGAGATTGAAGAAAAAAATGCCTTCAGAGCTAGTGTTTACTGCTACCAAACCATCATAGGTATCAAGGATATATGTGAAATGTCCCAAAATCAGTTAGACAAAAGGGATCTGATCATGTTTTCATCAACAAAAAAATGAGAGAGAGAGAGAGAGATGTTACAATGCCAAGGCGACATATTAAAAGAAGCGCCATGCACAAGAAGTTCATGAAGAATTTCTCAGTAACCTTTGCAGTCAGCTGGGGCTCACAAGTTTCTTTCAGTGACCAATAAGCACGAAAAGGAAGAAGGTCTTCTTATTATTAATCATCAAAGAATCATTATTACAAGAAAACCTAGAGAAACCGCTTAAATTTTCACACCTTATCCACACCCCTATCATTTTCTAGAAAACTTCTTCTTTTCCTCTTCAAACTAGCATTACAAAGAGAAAACCATGTGTCTCGAAGATCTCAACCCAAATATTGTAGCTGGGAAGGCAATGGAAGAAAAGGTTCCTTGCTATTTTCCTCGTAAAGTTGAAGAGCACCAAGAATTGGACGGGATAAAGGAAAGCTGAAGAGCACCAAGAATTTAAAACATATCCTTGAGGCTCGCCTATTTTTTCCAACCAGTTAATAAAAATTATTAAAAAAGAAGTAACGAACAAAAAATAATAATTAAGAAAAAAAGGAAAGAAAGAAAACCCACACCCATACACTCCAAAAGGTCTTTCAGTCTTCCTCTAGTCGGTGAATTCCAACCATAAAACCATGAAGCGATTAAGTTTTCAAATGGTGAAAAGACATTAGCCACTTGAAAGCAAAAGGGCTTACCTCAATCTTTAATTTGCAAGCACATTGAAGGGTGAACCTTCTATTGGCCGAGCAAATTGAAGGAATCTTTGGCTTTTGCTTTCTCTAGCTTTACAAAAAGCTTCTGCTTCATCATCTAATTTTCTTCAAGCAAATGGAAGGATTTTTTAGAACTTTGAGCCCGTATTGAAGGTTGAGGCCTAAGATACATTGTTACAAATGAAAAGCTTGTCTTCAGTTATTCATTTGCAGCAACGGATGGAAGGATAAGCCTTCCGATTGCTCAAGTATATGGCAACAACAGTTTTTCAGAACTCGAAACCACATATGTGAAAGAGATTGCCCATATATTCATAAGTGCTCGTAGTAACAACAAATGAAGAGCATAAATTATAGAAATTCAATTTATGCATGTTGAGTTTTCCTAATGATTAATGAGTACAAAACATATTTTAAATTTGTCGCTTATTGACACGAAATGTAACAAGCTTGTTAAGCACCATATATTACTACATCATGATGATCTGAACAAAAAACATATGAAACTCAACAAATTTGACAATTTTCCCCTATGTGCACAATTTTATCAATAGTTGGACGTGATCCCAGCTAAAAACTTCATCTAATCAAATAATCTCACGCCTCTATTCGCATTATAATGCCATGAAAACAGGCGCTTGTACAATAGAAACATAGAGACACAATTATGTCTAAACTAGATGGAAACTATACAGTGAGAAACGACATACCTCTAGCCATGAATTTTTCTTCTAAATCCATATTTCACAATTAGGAGTCATACATGCCCTGTAACAAAAAAAAAATGTGAATGTCGGGATTGTCACAGGATGCAAAGAACAGTGGTCACGATGGGAGAAGGTCAAGGAACTGACATAGCTACTAATTTATCTTCCGACTTATTCTAACACAAAATCAACGAGAACCATGGACTGAATCCGTTGAATTTGTCTGTTCCATTTTGAAAGAATGCTCAAATCTTAGCTTAACTCTTCAATTGCCTCGTTTACTTCCATTGATCAATATGGTATCCTTAAAGAGCTAAAGAAAACACAATAAAACTACAATGTAGCTTCTCAGAGCTAACAAATCAAACATTCCATCAACAAAACGAAATCATATTTCCGCAGAAAAGCAAGCTTTCGCCTGGAAACGGATATAAACCCGAAACTCGAAAGAAACAACAAACAGTCAAAGAATTGAAAACAAGAGAATAGTTCGGAAACAGAAATTTTAACAGAGATAAACGGCGCAACATCCAGAAATTCCAAACAAACGAAAAAGTAAGCAAACAAGACAGCAAGTGACAAACAAGATAATGCTGAAAAACAAAAGCGATGGCGGATCTGAGAGCAGAAACAAGCCAAAACTAGAAAAACCAAACAAAATATCAACACAGGCATCAGCAACAAAGAAAATCCATCTCGCATAAGAAAGAAAACAAGAGAAAAATGGCGACGAACCTAGGGTTTTTGAGATGCCGAAATCAGAAGCTCTTCAGAGCAAGGCGCTCGCGCGAATCCGGAGAGAGAGAAAGAGAGGGAGGGAGGCGGGCCGTTCGTAGATGTTAGTTAATATTGTGAGAGAAGAGGAATCCGTGGGAGCGGCTCCTCATTCCAGTGAGGGAATACGGTGTAATGCACGCGCTAGATAAACAAGTGAGAGTAGACTGCTCCACTTTGATGCGGAGTTGGTTCTGACTCCTGAGAACAGAGCAGAATATGTCCGGGGAACCAAGAATTGTACTGCCATTGGTCAGTTACTTCACGCGCTTTCTAAGCGCGTGAACTTTTACCTTTTATTTTTTTAATAAAATATCGAATTTAATTTAGAACTATTTGTATTGACCATCAAGCGATCGCAGTCCTGCAGAGCCGTAGTATCTAATGAGATAACGTACGAATCTAAACCGTCCGATCAAATTTTGTGAATCTTTAATTCCGAAATTATTGCAGTACTTTATTTTATAAAATTTTAAAATTAAAAAAAAAATTACTTGATTTTAATAAGCAATATTCGTTTTTTAATTTATTAAACTAATTAATTTAAAATTTTATATTATATCAATCCTAACTTAAAATTTTTAACTCACGGTGATAGAGGGTAAATAGGTAAAAGTTGAATAACTCAATTCTGACTGAAACGTAATTATAATCACTCTACGTCTTGATTTTCATTCAAATTTCTAGAGAATCTCAACATTGCATCGAACAAAGTACCAAATTGTGTGTATGGAGCTGAGCACTGCATTGTGCGAGATTTCATTGTTCATATCGTAACTGTGAGATCTCACATTAGTTGGAGACGAGAACGAAACATTTCTTGTAATAATGTGGAAACTTCTCTCTAGTATACACGTTTTAAAACCGTGAGAGATATGTAACGGGTCAAAGTGGACAATATCTGCTAACGCTGAGCTCGTTCTGTTGCAGTAACTTTGACTTATTATTGGTCAAAGCGGAAATTATGTGCATGGAGTCGAGCACTGCATGGTGCGAGATTTTATTGTTGATATCGAGATCTCACATTGGTTGGAGATGAGAATGGAACATTCCTTATAATAACGTGGAAACCTCTCTCTAGTATACACGTTTTATAACCGTGAGAAACATGTAACGGATGAAATCGGACAATATCTGCTAGCGTTGAGCTTGTTCTATTACAGTAACTTTGACTTATTAGAGTTCGCGCTCGAGCATTACATCAGAAGTTAACCCTACAGAACAATAGAATAGTCAACTATTACCATTGGAAAAATAATATTTGAAGAAAGAAAAAGATGGTTAACTTTGATGTGAGATACGTGGCATTTGAATTATCTTCTATTATTACTGCAATTCATACGTGGCACTTTCAATGTCTTTATTGTTTTGTTGCAATGAACACGTGGCACTTTCTATGTGGTGCTTTTAAGTAGAATTGCACTTTCATTATTCACCAACCGTCCTGGGTGTCCCATTGGTTGGAAATGGCCGTGACAATGACCCACGTGTACGTGGCCTTGGAAAAACCAACAGCTCCTTCCATTTTCAACTTTGAATAAAGGCTTCTTTAAAGGGAAAAAAAATAATAAAAATATATATTAATCTAATCCATATTGGATGAATTGTGCATTATTTTATTATTTTTTTAAAGAAAATTCGGTTTAGCTCGTAAGTTCAATTAACTCGACCCACTCAACCCTACCAATCTTAAAGGTTTTGTAACAACTTACGCTCATCACTAGCAAATGTTGTTCTTTTAGGGCTTTCTCTTTCGGACTTCTTTTCAAGATTTTCAAGACGCGTCTTAAAAAGATTGAAAGAAAGCTCAAAAGGACAATATCGGCTAGTAGTAGACTTGAGCCGTTACAAATGATATTAGAGCCAGATACCCCACGATGTGCTAGTTAGGACGTTAGGCCTCGAAATGGAGTAGATTGTGAGATCTCACATCGATTGAAAAGAGGAACGACTGTTAGTAAGGACGTTAAGCCCCGAAAGAGGGTGAATTGTGAAATCCCACGTCGGTTGAAGAGGGAAATGAAACAGTTTTTATAATACATGAAATCCTCTTTCAAGAAAACGTGTTTGAAAAACCTTAAGGGAAAATTCAATATCTACTATCAATAGAATTAGGTTATTACCATTATTATGAAAATTAAGAATATTTGATGTTTGGTAACCCATTAATGCTCGATTGATGAATTGTGAGTAGTAAATATTTAATATTTGAATTTTTGTTTATTTGATTTTTAATATATATATATATATCAATTAAGTATATATAAATTATAACTAAATTTATTATTATTTTAATCTTGAAAGCTAATACTTGGGAAGAAAAATAAAATATAAGAATATAAAATTCGCATTTCCCAAGGAGAAAGAAATTAGTGGGGTATGATTCTGTGTGGCACGCTTATGTCCAATCGGCTACAATCGAGAAGGCAACGTGCTGCCCAATCATCCATTTCTCGACCTTTCAGTGAAAAGTGTAAACTTTTCGCCCTCTAATTTCCTGCTTTCCCCATAATATAATTTATTTTTTCCCTGCAAAATCATCGACGAAATTAAAAATTAGTTTAAAAAAATAAGTTAAATTTTGAAACTAAAAAAAAAAAAAAAAAAAAACTATATTTTTATTTTTTAATTAAAAAAAAAATTGCAAACAAAATATATTTTATTTTAAATTTTTTAATAAAAATTAAAACTTCAAACTATATTTTAAACACTGTTCAGATGGTTTGTGGAAATTTATAAAAACCATAATAATTATCGTGAAAACGTACTTGTGTTCATTCTTGAGGTTCGAGAATCTCTACGCTTCTCACTTTAGAAACGCATTGTATAACTTCAAAACTAGAAACATCTCCCGTAACCACAACCGTCTTCCTTTCAAAATCTACCTTATATGAATCCACGCCTGAAAGTAATAATAATAATTTATTGATGAGACATTTCATTATTAGAGATAATATAATATAGACTTAATTCTTATTTCAATATCGTTATAAAAAGCTATTTAATTCTGTGTATAATAAATCTTTAAATTTTAAAGTTATAAAAAATAAAATATATTTTATAATCTATTAAATATAAATTTTATTTTTTTAATAGACAAATTAAAATTTAGAATTCTATATATATATAATTTATTAGATACAAAATAAAAAAATTAATATACCTAGTAATTAAATATTATTGTTAATTAGACTTAAATTCAATTTGATTCTCCACTAATAAAGGGCTCTTTTTTTTCTTCATAAAAATACATTTTTTAAAAATTTAAAATAAATAAATACCCTATAATTTCATTGAATTATATTAAAAAAATTATGTTAAATTACAACAAATTATTATTATAACGAATATTATAGATATAAATTTTAAAGAGTACCTTCTATCTTGCCGATGTTCTTCTCAACCCTTCTGGCACAGCCATTACAATGCATTGACACCCTCAGCTCCACCACCTGAAAAAATAAATAAATAAAAAGACGCTACTTTATTTATTTAAAATTACATTTTTTTCATAAATAAAAATTACAACCCTATGAATACAATTTTGAAGTATTTATTTTAAAAAAATATATATTTTGATAAAATTTATTGTGGTTGACAATATGATTTATTAAAAACGGAGTAAATAAATAAATTATTTTAAATTAAACGGTTTAAAATCAAATTTTAGAAAAAAAAAATTTGAGTATTTAATTGAGACTTAGTTTATATGAAAATACCAAAATGTCCTCACAAATGCATTCCATCGTTGCCGCGGCCCACCGGCGGCAACAACGATCAGCCGCTACTTTGCCAGCCATTGACGAAGATCGCACGGTTGTAGTGTTTTAAATACAAATTCAAAATCACTTTTATTTTTTAATTTACTTTTTTTTTTTAATAAAATATTTTTAAATGAAAAGAAAAAAAAAGGGGAAAAAAGAGGAAGGAAAGGAATGTGACCTTGGGGTTGGCTTGTTGGTTGGTATGAGAGATCACATCGTTGAGTCTGAGAAGGTGTGAGTTAGGTTGGTTAGGCATTAATGGCTGTTTGGGCTCAAAAGTGGCTTCGATTTGGAAGCACGAACTGGAAGCTCCGGAATTCATGAAACACGAAAACACTTTCCCAATTCCCACCGCCTTTCCCATTCCCAACTCTCTCTCTCTCCCCTTCCTTAACTCAGATCAGATCATCAAAACCAAATCAATACATATTTATATATATACACATAAACCGTATTCAAATGATTTTTAAAATATTTAATCTTGTTCGGGTTCATTACGTGTAGTTGTTAGCCTTTAAGGTTGTAAAACGTGCATGGTAAGAGAGATTTTCATATTATTATAAGGAGTACCCTCGGTCTCATTTCTATTTGACCCACTCGCCTTCTAGTGGCAGCGGGCTTGCGATTATGCAGCACTCACTTTCCAACAACAAGTGAGTTAAGCTTATTCGTTCTTGCATCGCCTACGGCTAACTGACGTATGCTCGAGCCTTTGACCCCGTTTCGAGAAAAAAAATTTTAAAAAACGGGAGTAGAGAGATTTCGAAAATGAGTTTTGAAAGTAATATTTGAGAAATTGAAATTTGTGTTATATGAGAATGTAAACAAAAGGCAACAATAGCGGCTTACTGCTATAACTATCGGGTAGGAAAGCATGAGATCACGTAATCTTACCTATACTTTAAATATTTTTTTAATAAATTAATAAAAATATTTGTGAATTTTTGCACTTTATCGTATAAAAAATATTTATAAACTTTCAAAAATTTCAATAATACGGATGAAAAAAAAACAAAATTATAAAAAATATTCATAAGCTTAAAAAAATTAAAATTAAGTTTATCGATTAAAACGTTAATAATTAGTTAATACATTTGAGTTTTTAAAAATTTGTTCGTACAATTTTTTAAAATAAAAAAAAAACACATTAAAATATTTTTAAAAACTTAAAAAATGTCGGACTATTTTCGTCCCTATATTAACTATAAAAATAAAAAACAATTAAATTTCTTTTTTTAAAGGTTAAGGGTGTTTACCCTACCTTTAAAATTTTATGAGTGTTTTTTAAGCATAGTACTAGCGATAACTGCAGTAGTGAAACTTTTTAACGGTATTTTTTGAACACTGCAAAAATCTTAAGGGTAATTTGGAATAAAGTATTAACCATTTTCATCCAAATGGTAAATATATTTTTTTGAATTTTAAAAAATGGAGGGTTATTAATTATTTGTTCCTATGTACTAATTAATGATAATATGCTTAATTTTAACTAATAATATTTTATTAAATTGATTTGAAAAAAAAAAAAAAAAACTTTATTTTATGAAATCACATGCTGGTTTTGAGCTCACAGATCAAGCATTAAAATCCTTCAAGACTTTATTGCATATTCATAACATATTTAATCCATCACTTGATCCAATAAATGTCGGCTCCATAGCTTATTATAAATCTCGATTTACATAATTTTTATAGGCCACAAAACTAACGGAATATAAACTATCATTAATTAAAATTTGAACACATTTAATGTGATTTTTTTTGTATACTTATCATTTATACAATATCATATATTTTATTACACGTATTTAAATCAAACAAAAATAAATCTAATTTATAAGGTGAAATATTGTATTATTATTATTATTTCTATATTTTCTAAAATATAATTTTGTATTTTAAAATTTCAAATTCAAAATTTAATAACCTTAATATTTTAACTTATTTCAAAATATAAAATATTATTTATTAATTTTAAAAATTTCAGAAATGTGCGTACCTAATTATTTTATTAATAACATTCATTTTTTTGAAATCGAGACTTTCACATTTTGGTCGATATCAACATTTTAAATCTACTGAGTTTCAGAATTCGTTGGTTCCCCGAGACAAATATAAATACTGGGTCTTCGATCCGTGTTTCTAGAATTTGATTGGAAGATTCCTAATGTTATTGTTATTATTAATATTTTGTTTTGAAATATAGGGCAGGTTGGTCCATGTGCAAATCATTATAATAATTCAAAGATGCTAAAGGGGCTAATTTAAAATAAAAATAAAAATATGCCCAAAATATTTTGCAACATGCCCAGCCACGTTAGTGCACGTGCTACTCACGTGAGAATAATTGCCAAATGGCATGCGCGGCCGGATTATGTATTTAAGAAGTGTGTGTTTTATGTAGTAATTTTGGTGTATTTTATTTTGCAACTTTAAATATATACTTAGGATTTTCAACTTTAGGTTATATAAATTAAATGTAACGAGTGCTTATAAAAATAAATTATTTTGTTGAATAAAATTGTGAAAATACTATTCTATCCCTGTTTCTGTATAATAACGATAGTTTAAATATATTAAATTTCTACTGATATTTTTTAACGCAATGGGTTCAAAATCTACTTTAAAAGTAAATCAATGTTACCGTTCATAGTTAAAATGTCAACGAAACACGAGAAAAAAATAATAAAATATCCCTAATGTAGATATAATATAATTAATAAGCATTTTATAAAAAGTATAAAAGAATTTCTTATTAATTTAAGTAGTATTTTTGTCCCTTTGAAAATATTTATCTGATTGATATTTTAATTTTAATTTTCGTAAATTTGAGACATTTAACTATTTCTTTAATTTTGACTTAAATATAGTTTAATTAATTAATCAAGGGAATGATTAAACGTCACGTGCCCTCAACTATAGAATATTAATTTATTTGAACCCAACCTAATTCAAATTGTACCATCGGGCATCAATTTTTTTGAGTCCTAGATTTAAATTTAAAGATTAAATTAAATCGAAATTTTAAATAGATTAGTTAACTTATAAAGATTAATTATTTTAAATCTCAAAATAAAATTAAATAATTAAACAAAATAAGATTAATTAATTTAAATTTTCGAATTGTGAATGAATACAAATACATGGACCTATTTTCGTAAATTCCCACCGCCAGCTCTTTGAATAGACGACATTGATGGAGCATCCTAGTTCTTCAAGATGGGAAGTACCTCCAACCCGAGCCCATAACTAATGGGCTTAAAGTATCAAAATTGGGCCTGATGGGCTTCAGTTACCAATTTGCCAGACACTTCGCCGACTCGTCGTCATAATACTTCATCTGTCTCCATCCAGTTTCTGACATGTCGACCCATTTTTTACGTTCGGCGCAGTAATAATGACCAAAATGGTAATTATAGGAAAAATGGAGGGCAAATAATTAGACGACAGTATCCATTTCGATTTGACTGTCGCACCAATTTCGACAAAGGATAAAGACTAACAGTCCAATGCCATGGAAAAGTCGGGCGCGCGCGCGCGAGAAACGTGGGAACAAGATAATTACTCTACACCCGAGAACAGCGTAACATACCCCAGATCCATTCCTTTTCTCTCTCCTCCGTTTCTTCTTCCATCTCTCTTAAGTTTTTTAGGCAAAAGCAGGAGCAGTTTTCTTTCAGCTCTTAGCTGGCCGTAGATACCGATACTGAAGAAAAAGGACCTGCAACTCTCTCTCTCTCTCTCTCTCCGTTTTCGTTCTTACTTTGTTCATCAGCTGTTGGTGGATCGATTGAGTTTTATCGTCAGCTTGAAAGGCTGCTGAACAAGAAGAAGTAATCGTGGTTGTCTGCTGATTTCGGTCCGTTTCGGTTTTCGTTTCAATCTTCTACTTGTCTAGGGTTCTACGGACGTTATTATTTCTGATTCTACTCGAGTTCTTCAACTGAGGTGAGGTTTTATCTTTTCAGATCCGCTGTTATGATTGTTGGACTGGTGGTTGTTAAATTGAGGTTTTGTTTGATTGCTAAAAAAGGAATGTATATTTGAAATCGTTGTTTGTTGACTTCTCCAGTTATGTATTTGAATTTCTGTAAGTTTGTTTTTGAATTTTCTGCTCTTGAAATGAACACTGGAGAAGACGTTGTATTCACGTTTTATTTATATGTTTCTTGAAACTTATAGGATAGGCAGTGATTTTGGCCATTTGAGCTCTTCTGTTTGGAGTTTATTGCTGTTTGTTTTGGCTAACATTGATCTCAATTGATGTAGGTTGACACATATGGCGAATCGAGTGAAGGAGGATGAGAAGAATGAACGGATTATTCGCGGTCTTCTGAAACTGCAGGAGAATCGCCGGTGCATCAACTGCAACAGTCTGGTACACTACTACTACATTTCTTAGTGTTTTCTCGACCTAGATATCACGTAGCTTCACTATATGAAGCTAAATATTCGTTTTGCTGTATTGAAATTCCAGTCGTTCTTTTGGCCTGCTCTCGATTTAGCTTCTTTGAGATCTTAGTTCCACGAAAAGAAGTTAGAATGATCATTGAGAAGTCACAAGACCTTTGGTTGTAATTTTCTCGTGAGATTCAATCAATTTTATTGAAACACTTGCAGGGACCACAGTACGTCTGCACAACTTTCTGGACGTTTGTTTGCACAACCTGTAGTGGAATACAGTAAGTGCATCTTTCTTATGTTTGGTTCTTGTATTTTCGATTTTTCCAAAGACACGCAAATCAATGGTCATATATTCCATTAGTCTTATGGAGATACTTTCTTGTATCTTGTTCATTTTATTGATAAAAACTTATTTGATTTGACTAAAATAGCCGCGAGTTCACACACCGAGTAAAATCAGTATCAATGGCCAAATTTACTTCTCAAGAAGTTAGCGCTCTTCAAGAAGGAGGAAATCAGGTACATGCTGCACATGGATGGATACTTTCATTTCTCAGAGATTCACCTTTACACTGTTAAGAATCATGATTTTCTTATATTTCCTTTTTTTCTATTTTCAATTTCAAAGCGTGCAAAGGAAATTTACTTTAAAGAGTTGGATCCACAACGTCATTCTTTTCCTGACAGCAGGTCATTTTATTTTACTTTTTTATCATTATCTTTATTATTTTTAATGTTATACTATTATGTTAGTCCAAATGGATGTCGTTCTGAGAGAAACTTTTCCTTCCAGTAACGTTATGAGACTCAGAGACTTTATCAAGCATGTTTATGTGGACAGAAGATATAGTGGCGATAAAAATTTTGACAAGCCACCTAGGGGGAAATCGGTGAGATGCCTCAAACCTTCTTTTCTAATTTCTCTGAGATATATCTGAAGTTGAACGCAGTAACTTTTATCACTTGATTGTTTGGATTATATTATTTTATTATGATTCTACAC